GGTCACCTCCGGGGCAGGCGGGATCGAACTCATGCGGAAGTGGCTTAAGCATCTTTGTGCTGCACTTTAACCCGCTGTACCACCAGGGAGGGCCAATACAAGAAGTTTTAAAGTTCATTGTAGTCAATCTGTAAGTCTGGTCCCTTAAGATCCTTTCCTATCTCGGACGTAGAGTTGCCAGAGCTTTCTTATATGTTCTCGTCTGAAGTGTATTACTTCATCCCATATTGGATTTATTTGGAAGCCTGGTGTAAGAGGGAAAGCTAATTTTATGTCTCTCCAGCCAGATGTCAGTTGGGTCGCCAGCCCTTTCCCTGTTTTGTGCCATTTCTATGTTGCTTTTACCCACATCTGCTGGGGTACCCTGTGGGTTCCCTCTTATCTTTTGTTGATGCATTCATCTAATCCAGTGCCAATACACATGGAATCACTTTGCATAGTTTTGGAGTGTGATTGATACCTGGTAAAGCAAGCTATCTTTGGTCTTTAGCGTTTATTTAGTTTTGAAGTTATCTTACCTATTTTATAGTGCTACTACTCTTCTTTATCAATTTTGGAATTGGTTGGCCAAGAACCAAGACTACTCTTGGCACTTGCACTGGAACTGCACTGAGCACACAAGTTAAGCTGGAGAGAACGTACAGTATTGAGTCTCCTCACCTCAGAGCAAAGTGTTTCTCTGCATTGATTCTGACCCCGGTTTATGTCCTCCAGTGAAAGGTGGCTGTGTGTCAACAGTAATTGGTGTAAGGGTGCCATGTGCCATTGCCAGCCAGCTACATCTGCCCCTGGGTGGTTCTATTGATCACGTGGCTGTTCACCCAACAGTCAGCCCTGCATTGTGACTTTGTGCTTCCTACCCACAGTAAAATTGTGAACAGTTTTGTCACATAATTTGGTTAAATAAAGAATCACTTTATGGTATCTCCCTGGTGCTGCAAGGTGTTGAGTCTCAGCGCTATCAGGCTGTCTCCAGCCACTGCAGCACAAGTTCGAACCCCAGCCAGGGAGCTGGCCCACATGGCTCAGCAGACCTCGCCTGTTTCGCTCACTGCTCCCCTCAGCAGTGTGTTTCAGTAGATCCACCTGTTACACTCCCTGCTCTGTCACTGGTGAGTCTTTTCACCGCCCTCTACACACACCTCTGAACTATACCCCATTTCTTGTATGCATAAATAAATAATTTTTTAAAAAACTTTTTTTTTTTTAAAGATTTATTTATTTGTACATACAGAACTCGGGTACAGGCCAGAGGCTCAGGGGCGGTGAGAGGCTTCACCAGAGACAGAGTGGGGAGCAAAACAGGCAGATGGAGGAAGTACACTGCTGAGGGGAGCAGCCGGCGGGTCAGGAGAGGTCTGCCCCGCCATGTGGATCTCCTCCAGGACAGGCAGGGATCAAACTCATGCAGAAGTGGCTTTAGCTTCTCAGTGCAATGCTTTAACCCGCTGTGCCACCAGGGAGGGCCGTAATAAATTTTTTAAAGAAAAAAAGAATCACTTATGACAATTCTTTCTGAATGAACCATTCTTATTTCTTAAGATGGCTTTCAGTATTTTAACTGCAATCTGCATTTATACAAGATTTTTCTCCTCCCTACTTTTATCCCCTTATGTGTAGTGTGATTTTTCCATTCTCTTTGATTTCTCATAATTCGTTAACCTGACAATGGATTCAAGCTCTTATTTTGCACTGAAGTTGCCATTATATTAAAATAGCAACCCACTCTTACACATACAAAAAAATACCTTTTCTTTAATATTGCTAAATTTTCTGTTTTCTAACCCACGTTGAGACCCACTTAAAATCTATCACTTAGTCTTTGGCTAGGAGGCTCCTTCTCTGACTTATACGACGTCCAAAAGGCACTGCATGAAGTATGTTTTTGTTTTTTTCTTAATGCTGCAATGGATAAAAATGATTAACTGGATAAGTAACCTGAGTTGACTGAGTATCTGATGCTTCTTATTCGCTAGTTGGTTCTGACCTGAAAGACCATGCTTTAAGGGTGATAAAGGATTTGTTTCAAATGCCACATTAGCTGAGGAAGGAATCTGGTTAGAGACTTTGAGCAAATAACAGAAAATCTCACAGTCTTAAATTAGGTTAATGTTAATGAGTTTGCCGTCACTTGTGTTTCTCCAGCTTCCAATTGTGGAAAAGATACGAACCATTGCCCAGACCGTCTATGGAGCCAAAGACATCGAGCTCTCTCCCCAGGCACAATCCAAAATAGATCGCTACACACAGCAGGTAAAAGGGATGCTTTGACGATGCAAGGGGAGCCCACCTTAGCTTTTGGAAATAGTAACTTGACTTCAGAGCAGGTCATGTCCCAGCAGCTGGACTTGACTTAACCCACTCTGTGGTCCACAGAGATGGAACTCTATCCTTGGGTGCCGGCGGACTCTCAGGATATTCTGTTGAGGGTATACGCTTGGGTGTTGTTATTTGTGATTATGTGTACGTACTGTGCGTGGTGTCTGTTTTCGTGTGTGGTATGTGCTCTCCAGTCCCTCCTGCTCAGCCAGAATCAGCGAGCATGTCCTTGGCCATACCGCTGTGGACTCTGCTTTAACAGCCCTTTATGCTTCATTCATTTCAGGCACCTCTTACTACCTTAAGAGCATGGTGCCAGGTCAGGCAAGTAGGGGTACAGCACATAAAGATGGGGGGGTGCTCTTTTTTCTAAGTGGCTCCTTACCTGGAGATTATGCACCAAGGTTGAACACTCATCATCATCTGCAGCTAGAGATGATAAAGACGAGTTGGCAGGTGGCCGTGACTCAACACCAGGAGAATGTTCCATAATGGCCGTGTCTAGTGGACTCCATGCAGTGTGTTCAGCCACCTGGACCAGAGTAACCATATGTCTCATGCCCCATACAGTTTGCAATGACGAAACCCTTCTACCAGAGCAGGAGAGGGGAAAGCAGACAGGGCGGGGGCACAGCACATGGACAGTGGGCAGCAGCAGCAGGTGTATGGTACAGGCTGTGACATGCACCTGAAGGGGCTGATCCCACCCCTCTGAGTCATACTCAGTGTTATCAGTGTTACCGCAAATTTTAAAAAATAAGAAAGGGGGAGAGAGCACAAACCCAGGTGCTTCCAGAACTTGCTGGCAAATGAGCTTCACTGTAAGAATCACCTCTTATTTATGCATCATTCTTGACATCTATAAGGACTTCCAATGCCAACCAGTGTGTCCCGGATTTGGTAAGATAGTCAGCAGTTCATTTTTCTTAGCACGCTCTTTGCTGCACTCTAAAAAAAATAAACGTACGTGTTACCATTGTGCTCACGTGCTGTGAAATAAGGTCATTTTAGGAGGTTTTTTTAACCATAATGTTTCAGAGACGCTACTTAGGGACTAGAGTTTACTCTTCTGAGTTCCTTCCTCCCTGCCAGACTTCAGTAAGTGTCAGGTGCTGGTATACGGCAGAGTGGGTTGCTGGTGGTGGTGCTGGTTTTAATCTCCCTACTGCAATCCTACATCCGTTCATAACTGTTACTTCAATATTTGATCACTGAAACCCATAATTCCGGTCACCATCTCCATAGAGCAATTGTGAAAATTCAGCAACATTCTTATCAGTCTACAAGAGTATTTATAGCATTTCAGGGAAAGAGAACTCAGCCCCCCAAATGGACAATACTGTAAAATCCTGTGTGTGATTTTTACGTAAATTCAATGAGGTTTGCCTCTGAAAATTGTCTTTTTATCTCTTTCTAGTAAGGGGACATCCCTTAAAAGTTCCTTGGCACGTCTGTGAGGCAGTTAATTAGCACAGTCTCTCGGGGCGCTGTGCACCCTTCATCAGGCCCCGAGGACACTGTCCTTTTATGAGACACCAACTGTGACTTCCTGCCCTGTCCCCCTAGAACGCCGGTCAGATGTACCCTTTGGTCCTTAAAAATAAGAGGCTTAAATAATGACCTCATCTTATTTCACATAATGTAATGGCCGGTCAGATAGCCATGACTCAGACAGAACACAAAAGAGCCCTTTGCTTCCTGACGGGCCCCCAGGAACGAGGGACGACGTGACTCATGACGGGCCTGTCTCTAGATTACCTTTCAGAGTCTGGATATTAATATCCTCGGAAGTAGTTTCTCCAGCTGCTGCTGCTTCGGCTCTGCCTGGAAATAGCCACACTTTCCCCGAAACCTGCGCACATTGCTGCCACTCCCCAGGGAGAATTCTCCCAAAGCATTATTAAGATGCCTGCAACCTGCCAGGAGCTGGTCTCTGAGATTCTGTCCCACCTTGTGGAATGAACAAGTAGCAGCAAGCACCTACTGTGTGCCCGGCTCTGCGTGGGCTGGGCCAATGCCCAAGACAGAGAAAGGAGACTGGTGGTTATGCCACAGGACACGCTTCCTTTCGTTTCTTACAGGGTTTTGGAAACTTGCCCATCTGCATGGCAAAGACCCACCTGTCTCTCTCTCACGAGCCTGACAAGAAAGGTGTGCCCCGGGATTTCATTTTACCCATCAGCGACGTCCGGGCCAGCATCGGCGCCGGCTTCATCTACCCTTTGGTTGGAACGGTGAGTGACGTTCTCCAAGACCCTCCCAGTCCACGCTGGTTTGGGAGCTCCCTGTCCGCCGTGCAGGGGTCTTGGCGTCCACTACCAGTAGCTGCTATTTAGTGAACACTCGGGACGTAAAAGCACCTCCGCCATCACGGTGTACGTAGGTTGTTCTGTTTCTGTCGTGCAGTCGGGGTCCTTGGGAGTCCTGAAGCTGATCCCCTCCTTAGAACAAAAAAGAATAACTTGGGAGAATTCTGTTTGCTTGTAAATGATAGAATGCCTTGGGATCGCGCTCCTTGATCTTTTTTTTTTTACACTGTCACACTCACAAATGATAAGATTTCGCTGCAGTGGGTTGAATGGAGGTGTCTGCTTGTGCCAGCCAACTCCCATCCCCAGGACTGGGGAAATGAGAGTTTCTCCCTTGCCCTGTCCCTCAGCATAAGGGGGAAACTTGGAAAATGAGGGAACCCCAGGAGTTCTTATGTTCGGCCTTGTTTCTTTGAGACTATGTTGCTATGTTGATGGGCATGCAGGGGGACTAGGAAAGAAATCAAAACGTAATGCGCTTAAAATCCATAGTGATGGACTTTGTACTTATCATGCTTTGTGGCGGCCTCGCAGTGATCTGACAGCTTCCCTGGCTATCCATCATGGCTGAAATCGACCTCCCACCTGGGAGTGTTCCTGGATTCAATTTAGAACAAAAACTCAAAAGGGTCATCATTGTCGTCCATGCAGGGTGAGCATAGTCCATTCGGCCCCCTCTGTCCGTCTTTGACAAAGTGTGGGTGCTGGAGAGGCGGCCGCGGGCTGGCTGGGTTTCCTGAAAAGCACCCTTAGCCACCATTGTGGTGCGGTGGCCTCTCCCGGCTCTGGGCCAGGTCGCTCCGGTGGTCATTGCAGTGAGCTCAGGTGCTCTGTGGTCAGGTCCTCCAGAGATAACGGTGAGGAGCCAGGAAGGAAGTGGTTGGTGCCTCACTGCTGACCTCCCGGGGGTCAGGAAGCCATCACTCAACTCTGCTTTCTATGACAGAGAGGAAGCTGAGTGTGCACTGGACAAACACCAGAGGCCGGGCCCCTAATAAGGGTGATATTTACTTAGAGGTGACCCCACTACGGGCCGCGTCACAGCCCGATGAAATGCTTCGAGTGCTTGTCACCAGGCACAGGACATCCAAGGGAATTTCCTGCTGAGGTGTCCAGGGGGGTGAGGACACGGAGGCCAGCACCTACAGGTGGGAACATTCTAGCACAATGAATCACACTTACTGTTAATCACCGGACACGTTGATGGAGTGCCTGGAAAGACACAGTCCTCTTTCCACTCCAGACAGAAACCCAAACTGAGTCTGCAGAAGCCTTCCCGTATGTTCTCCCGGTTCCCTCCCTCACCTACACCCCTGGGAAAGAACAGGATCCGGCTTCCCACGCAGGCCTCCCCGAAGGCGCTGGCAAGTCAGCCGCGGGAGCACAGACCTTGGTGGCTGGAGGAAGGAGAAAGCCCTGCCGTTGGGTCCTGGGGTGCCCCTCGCAGAGAATCCCACCAGGCGCCGACCCTCCTCCCATGGCAAACAGCGCTTTGGGCGAGCGCCCGGCATACCTGCCGTTCAGCTTTTTCTCCAGATTTTGCTATTTACTTTCCCGTCCCTCTGTACTTGTAAGTCGCGTTTTTCTACCACGTTAATACCGCGTCCTGCCCTACTGGGGCACCCTTTGGTTGGCGCTGATGACCGCAGTCCCCGGTGTCAGGACCGTGGCCGCCGCCAGCACGTACCTGCCCACACAAGCTCCCACGTGTTTGCTGTTCTCTCCAACGCGGCGCGTTTTCCATCTTGCTGCGAGGTGGCTCGTTTTTCCTTCTTAAAACAACTCTTTGCGCCCAGTAAACTCCATGTGTTTTCTCGCTTCTCTGTGCATACTCTTTCTCCCACAGAAAGCTACAAAATAGTGCCAGATTGTGGACCAGCCGGTCACCACGCCGTGCATCTCCACGCAGGAAATATTTCTACCAACACAGATCCTGGGTGTGCGGAGAAAGGCGCAAACTGATTTTAAGATTTTCCAGCTCTGTTCTGTACTGTTATGTTCCAAAATTCTCTCAAAGCTTAGGGTCTATAGTGCTCGGTAAACCTCAGAACTTAAAAAACTTATCCAAAATAATCTCATGCCGCCCCCCCAAAAAAAATTCAGTAGTGATCTCTGTCCCGTGGTCACGTGTATATTCCTGATACACGTTAAGTTTCTGTAGTTTATAAGGACAATTTAATCCTCTGGTATAAATTCCATGGCATGAAAATGCTAACATGCAAGTAGAGGAGGTGAAAGGGCGTCACTGAGAAATCAGTACATTCCACATAGAAACACGATAGCAAGACACCAAACCAGTGAGGTGGCGCAATGATGCTAAGAGAAGATTGTTTCTGGTCCTTTATTTGTGATTTAAAATGACTGCATTAGGCATAGGTCACTTTTACAACCTGCGGATACAGTCTACAGGGAGACGGACGGACGCTGGAAATACTGAGTTGCTTCACGAAGACCAGTCAGTTGCAGGAGAGCCTGTGACCAGCAGGAAGAACCTGGCTGGCGGAATCCCCTGGCCCGGGCTGTCTTGGATGTTTCAACATCCGAAAATTTGGGACACAGAGAAAGAAGGACAAAAGAGCTAGGCTTTTCCCTAGGAAGCACACTCCCCAGTATCTATGTCAGCTTAAATCTGTGAGCCCAGGCTCTGTTCTGAAAATGCAAGATAGTGTTGTGCCCTGTGCCAGGGCCCTGCTTGCCAACAGCCTTGAGTGGGGAGGGGTGAGGACCCCCTTTCTTCTCACAGGCCTCTCTGAAATCACAGTGCGTTGTCAGAGCAGAGGCATGGAGAGGTGCCGGACCGAGGGTGAGTTCCCAGCAGAAACCCTTTGAAGTCAGTTTTGGGTGGAACAACTGTTTCCCTTTGACCTCACACGGGGGCATGCAGAAGTCTTGTGGACACAGAGTCTGCTGGAATAGAAAGTCTTCTTTATGGACAGGCATCGGATGTAAAATTAGACCATGAGGTTCTTGGCGGAGGACGGGTTGGGGGGGGGTGGATCTGGGCTAGAATCTTGGGGTTAAGCGGTCTCTCAGCTGCGTCCACAAAGGGATGAAGGCATTTTCGGGTTGACTCCGTGGTCAGTGGGAACTGGAACCGTTCTGGCAGCCTATTGAGACTCGGAAAATAAGACCCGTTGTGCTCTTGTGTTACTGGCCGACAAGGCAGGACAGGCATGCTGGCTGGAGCGCTGAGATGTGGCAGGTCAGATGGCCGAGCCCGGGTCCTCACTGTGTGGCCCTGGCCCCTGGTGTCCCCGGCTCCATCTGGAACCGGGGCCTCGAGACTCTACCTGTGTGCGTCCGTGGGGTTCTCCCTCCTGCTGTGACGGGTCTGGGTGAGACGCATCCCAGCGTGGAAGCCTGTCGGGAGAGCAAGCTGCTTCCCCAACACCCGCACGCTGTGTGGCCCGGGGTTCCACTCTGCCCTGACCCACCGGCCTCCAGGTGCTTGTGACGCCAGGCTTGGCTTGCCTGGGGAAAGCAGGAAACGGCTGGGGTGTCCAGGAAGTCAGTGATGTCACCCACAGCTAATGCTGGGTGGGGAGTTAGTGGACTGGGCGGGAGGGGGCCCCCAGAAGACCTCTGCAGCCCCACCCAGCAGAGCCCTGGCCTCTGGCCCTTTCTCACGTTTCATGAAGCCTCTTTGTTTTCGCTCCCTCTGTTGTAAAAGTGTTCCTGAATGTGGCATTTCCGGGACTGTGGGTCAGGCCTGCTTAGGAAGGGATGAACCATCAGGCCTGGAGGCTGGGTGCAGCCTGAGGCCGCTCACGCTGGCCAGAGACCGATGGCCAGTCCCGGAGGGGAATGTTCAACATCCACACAGCTGCACTTGGGGGAAGAGGATGAGCACCCCCTTAGGAGACACCTCAGCGCATCGTGGGGGCTCAGGCGCACGAGGCACCCGCAGCACATGGTCCCACGCAGTCCCCCTGCCACCCCGCTCCCCCTCCTTGGTGGCGGGAACCTGCCAGCCAGGGCCACCTGGATCCCCTTGCACCTGCCCCGCCCGCCGGCCTCACCTTCCCTGAGCGCGGTGCCCTTTCCCGCTGCCCCTGGATCTTGTCGGTTTCCTCTCCCCCGCCCAGCCCGGGTCCCTCGCGCCGCTGCTCTCTATCTGGACATCAGAATTTCCTGCTTTCTCCCAAACACGCCGTCCTGCCGGCCGGGCCTCCACTCCCTTCCCGCGCCGGGCGCCGGGCTGCTCCGTGACCGCCGCTTCCGCCCAGGCGTGAGCCGAGCGGAGCGCGGCCGCGGGAGAGGGGTTTCCTGTAGTTTCGCTCGAGTTTGGGGAGAGGAAGGCAAGCCGAGACCTCCGTTCCCAGAAACTCTCGGCCAAATGGACGGCGACTCATGGGAATGACACTCCCTCCCCTCCAGGAGGGGAGGGCCCCGTCATTAGGGGTCTTACTTCTCTCCCCGACTTGGATGCTGGCTTATCTTTAGCGTCCACAGAAGTTTCCTTCAAAAGAAGTTCATCCTTAAGCAGGGAAGCAAATGGAGTAATAATATGCCAGATATTTCTGCTTGAGTTCAATTTTTGTTTTAAGATTTATTTATTTGTGCATACAGAACTGGGGTACAGGCCAGAGGTGCAGGGGCGGCAAGAGGATTCACCAGAGACAGAGCGGGGAGCAGAACAGGCAGATCCGCGAAGTACACTGCTGAGGGGAGCAGCGGGCGGGTCAGGAGAGGTCAGCGGCTCCATGTGGTCACCTCTGGGGAAGGCGGGGATCGAACTCTCACTGAAGTGGCTGGCCAGCTTGCAGTACTGCGTCCTTAACCCATTGTGCCACCAAGGAAGGACCTTGAGTACAGTTTTTAACCTGTTGTTACTAATTCCCACGAGTTGGCTCTTCCTGTCCATAAGCGGAGAAGTGGGTGCCTGTTAGGCTGGCTGCACACCGAATTCTAGTCAGCCTACGGGT